GAAGGTTGGGCCATTGTCTCTGATTTTGCCAAGCACAGGAGGGGTCAAGCAATAGATGAGTTTTCCATGTCAAATAAATGAGTGTTGTTTCACTTAGACTAGTTCTAAAAAGAGACCTTTTCAGTCCTCATCATGGTGCTCCAGGGAAAGGGAGAATGTTTTGAAATGCATGATGTTTTGTCATTCTCAAATATATGGTCATCCTAACTGCAGCATATCAAACTAGCTGATGATGTTCAGTCTTGCTGATTTGCTTATGTGATTTCAGATATCAGTCCCTGAAACTAAAGGCTTTCTTATGTAGTTACATTGCTTTTCTTCACATTTTCCTCTACTAAATAATAACTTAATGTCTCAAAATATTCTCCCCCCCCCCCTTTTTTTTTTCTTTTTCCCCCAGTGCTTTTGAAACTTCAGAACAAGAAGGCCTACTCAGTGGGTTTATCTTTGGCCATGATTATGAATCAGCTTACTCCTTTACCTGTACCGTATACAAAACAACAAATACAAGAAGATAATCTTGGACTCTGTCAATGCTGTAATGCAGTGGTGGACTTCACTAAACCTTTTGTGAATGAAGTTGTTAAAAACATGGAAAAGTCAACAGAATATAATGACACGGAGCTGAAAGAAGAATTATTAAAATTGTGAGCATTTTATGTGTGTAATATATTCCTATAACTTAACAAAATGAACAGTAGGCAATTATTACATAGGCAGTAAATAAATCATCTGGTTAGTGTTTTATAATGCTGCCATCTTTAATGCGGCGTTTTGAAAAGGAAAGGAATCTTAAATATGCCTTACATATTTGTGAAGTGAGAGAAGAGAGGTAAAGATTATTGATCTATTTATTAGTGCAGGGATATAGTAAAGAAATATTAGTCTCTGTGCTGTGAAGCTGATTTGGTATTCCCCTGCTTCTCCTCAAATTTCCAACCATGAGGATAATCATATTCTGGAGATGAAGTCTAAGGAATGCTACTACAGGAGACATTCTTTTTTACTTTATTCTCCTTGGAATATCAGCAGCTAATGAGCCTAGCTCTGAGTATAGACTTTAGTCTTGGTCATCAGTGTTACTGTCTGTATTTGTGATTGTACTGGTGATTTAATTTCACCTGGTTTTATTTCAGCTGTATGAAAAGCCTGAAATACCCATTATTGACAGCTCAGCTTGAAGAACTTGAAGGCATTGATGAACATCCCTTTCGGCATTTTGCAGCTGAAATTATAGTAAGTGCAGTCAACGTAATTACAGTGTTTGCAACCACAGTGGTCTAGTTGAGAATTACCTATAATTCATTCCGGAGTTCACTTTGGTTCCTTTATGGGTTAGTGGGATGACTTACTGGGCCTTGTAATATAATGCAGGTAGGTAAAGGTCTAGAACAGTTCCGTGTCCCATCTCTGGAAATTACAAATCTTGCACACGTAGTTTTTTACCTTGATAAACCAGTCTGAACTGCTCTCTAAATCAGCAGCTGCTACTTTGCTGTAATTGCTGCTTTTTCTTGGTGATGTATGAATTTATTAGAATATCTAAAGGATTGTCTTTGCTGCAGTATTACATCAAGGTAAAATCTACATGTTTACCTTTACTCCAAGTGCTGCACAGACAGAAATCTCTAATGTGCCTAGTGCAGTGCTGGCTGACTTAAAGATTACCAATGCAGTTACTTTGGTTTTGAATGTTTTACATAGCAGCTGTGTTTTATTAGAGCAAGATTATTGTGGGTGTAGATAATTTTATTTAAACTTGCAGCAAAACTAGTCCTATAAAGAAGATAATCAGATGCAGCCCATGCATATGTCGGAACACACAATACATGTATGTTTTCAGAAATAGAACTAGGTGTGATTAATAAAGTTACAGCAAGTAGAACTGTGCTTTGTTCATGTTCTGAATGTGGTAAAGAGTATTTTCACTCTTACGTGTATCCAGAGGTAGTGGCTTGACCCCAGCTGGCAGCTGGTTTGGTCACAGATCTAAAACATAGCACCCCACAGGATGCCATGAAGAAAATCAACTCCAAGCCAGGTAGACCCGGTACACCAAATTTAAAGTACTTGTAAATATCAGTTGTCTCTAATTTTCAAATGCAGTTGTACAATGATGTGTGTTGGGATGATGAAATGAAGGAATGTTCTTGACAGCCAGGTACTGGATTATTTTATAAGAGTTAATTCAGAAGCAGGCTGGTAAATCTTGTAATGAAATATAAGAGTGGAAAATATTCTCAGTGCTAAATGGAGTCTTCCCTCAGGATAGCCAATGGGCCACTGGCTGGGTATACTTAACAGACAGTAACAGCTCATTTGTATCAAGATTGAAACTAATGTCTTCAACTATTATAAAGCAAGCTGGCCTTCTTAGAAGTATAGGAGAGCTGAGCATTAAATGACTATTAACTGGTTATTAATATTCACTGTTAAGACAAAACTGGCCATTACAGTTCTTTTCTGTAAGCTGTTTGCTTAACTATGCATATACCTGTTTCCCATGTAAATGCTGACTATGAAAGTATAGAGTTAAGCTTGAATTTTGAACTTTGTTCTACCTTGTTATCCCTGCTTAGAGGAGAAAAATGATTGATGAGCTTCAAAAGGAAGAGTTAGAGCCAGCTGGGATGAGGAAAGCACGCATAAATACACTCACTATGCGTGTGCAAATATGCCTGCATATGGAGGAAGTCTGGAAGTTGCCATGTGATGCAACTCTGTTTCTTCTCCAGTTTGTGTTTAAAAATATAATCACACAAAATACTATATACAAACATTAAGTTTGTAAAGTGAAGCGCACGAAGCAGTTAGCAAAGGTTTCGATTGTTTTTCAACAATAATTAGGTTTTCTATCATGATCACATCTATTTTTTTCCACAGCATGTCTCTGCATAGGATGGAACTGCTGTGATATCAATCAGGGCTTGTGCAATGAAAGAGGATCTTGTCTCTGAGACCTTTACTTCATTTATTGCAGGACTTTGAGGGTGTGCAGTGAAGGAGACAGGGATTACCAGGAGATGACCCCATGGTTAAGATAGCTGAAGGGTGCTTTGAATAACTGGCTTTTTATCCTGCCTCTCCTGTTGGGCACAGTCTGAAACCATGTTCTTTATGCTAATTATGAATTACCTTTGATTCATTTTCTCAATAAAGTCACTTCTGCTGTTGGTGGAATTGGGCAATGAGAGTTGCAGGCAAGGTCAGTAAAGTCATGTTTTGACTATATGACACCGTGTGTAATCCTAATTTTCCGAAAAGTAAGATCCTGGATGTTCAGTTTGGACAACCTCTGAATAGTGAGTTAACCTTGATCTTGCTGGTCTTTCAGAACAGGTACAACAGGAGATACATTACCTCCTGTGCCACGTGAATGCGCGTTGTACATCACTGGAAAGAAAGTGATCCTAACTTTAAAGCAGGGCTTGTGTTTAGTAGGTAAACATTGTATTGCACATTGATGAGTAGAAAACAAAATACTGAGTATTCTGTGATCTGAGAAACAGAGAGGTCCTGTGGCATGATGTGATCATGGAGCTATCATGATTCATAGCATCGTGGATAAAGGAGTCAAACTAGGGGTTTGCAGGGTGACTTTGTTTTGTCTTTTGCTAACTTTTGAGTGTTTGGCCATTCTTCTAACAGTAGTTATTTTTCCTGCAGTTATTTTCCTGCAGGGTCTTTTTTGATGTATGTGTACATATCATAAATACTCAAGAAATGTTTATATTAATCTATGCTATGTAAGAGAATTTACTGTAAATACAGTTAAAGCTTTGAAACTTAATTGGTATACAGGTCTTTTAAAGGCAACTCTATGCAATCTGTCTTTCTTTTTTAGGACATTTTGTGGGATATAAGAGAACTGATACCATTGGTGTTTTTACATCGTAAAAGCAAAAATCCAGAATGGGAGAATCAGGAGTTTGCAGACATAGAGCAAAAGAATTCTGCTGATTCTTTGGCATGCCTGTCATATCTGATGGTTGTTCAGCATCTTGGTATTGATTGTTTTCCAGTGGTATTTAGGTAAGAGCTGTTCTTCTCACGTATTGTTAAGTCTGTACTTTCAAGATTCTTTCTGAGCAGAAGAAAACTTACTATTTGTGAATAGGTATGAATGAAAACTCTGTATTTCAGTAGTATGTGTTTTATGTCAACCTTTCTGCATTTATATTTTATGTAGTTTATATTATGTATATAAGAACATACTCTAGTCCTGTAGATTACTAGGGTTTAATTTTAGGTGAGGTGTCCTTTTAAAGAAACTGGTAGGATTAGTCACTTGCTGAAAGTTAACATGTAGTGAATCTTCAATTGTTTATTTGTAGACAGTTTCCATGTAGGGGTTAGTAACAGCAATTTGACTTACTATTTTGTGTCTGTTTCTAAATCATAAATATTACAAAGATATTTTTTGTATTATTTACAAAAAAGATTAATATATAATCTATGTGCAAATGTATATGGCTTATACAGTTTAATGTAAACCTTATTTTTCTCTTTTAGTCCATCGTACCTTCTGCAATGCAATATGACGAATATTGAAGTGCTACTGAAAAGGTAGGGGTTATGGAATTTGGAGTTCTAGACAGTCGGTGTGATCTTTCATAGTAATTCATAGAATCACATTTTGCATGTACCAAATAATATCAGAGGAGGTTTTTAATCCTGCGAATTAAAATGCTAAGTTGCACAAGAAGATAGCTTCTTTAACCAAGAAACAAAAAGTTGCCTAAAACATTTGTTGTTTTCTGCTTGTATTGTGATATAGTTTTTATAAACCTTATTCTGAAAATGCAAAATTAAGGTCTTTTAAACCCATGCAGAATAATTAAGAGTGTGTATTTACTTGTACTTCTGTAATAGTTTACTACTAGAGAAGACTATTGTGATAATATTTATTTGGATGTATTCTTATACAATATGCAACCTGATCCAGGGTCAGGCTTTCTAAAGGAAACCAAACTTTTCTGTATATTGTGATTATTTCACCTTCCATAAGCAGCAGTGTTGACCGTATAGTTTCTAGCACTGCTATGGAAGGGAATTTTCCTGTTATGACTTCTTACCATTTCCTGCTAACATTTAACAAAACTTCCTGGTCTTTTTGGTATAGGATCTGCTGTGTTTTTCCTAGGCTTGCAGAGCTCTGCAAATGGAATCATCTGGGAAAAGTTTCATTTTCTTTGTTAATCAGTGTCTTGATGCCTGTGAGATATGAGATGCTGCTTTTGAGGAATTAAATGGCCAGGAAAAAGAAATGTCATTTTTGACCCTGAAGAGAGAGGAGTCTAATTTTCAACTCAGTTTATTCTAAAAATTTTTGAGAGGAATGATAAAAATACTACATTTAGAAAATAGAATGAAAATCGTTGAGGGACAGGTTCTTTTTCATCTCTGTTCTAGTATTTCTTCTAAAATATCAACAATGTCTTTTTAATTCACAACTTAAGTTTGATTATTCTTTTTTGTTCCCCTAGAACAGAAGAATCTATTTTATCTAAAGGACTTGTAAGTTTTCTTTCAATCAAATTTTCATTATTATAATGCTTATTTTTTCCAATTTAAATAAAACTTTCATTTCCCCGTGTAAGAAAGGTACAAATGATAATTCAGATAATAGTTTCAGAAATATTTTGAGGCTTAAATAGGCATTCTTTAGTCTTACAAACACTTAGATTTATTAAATTTTACACACATGCATAAATGTTTTCATTACCTTCATCATTTGTAGCTCCTATGAGCTTTGGATGTCTAAGTGAGCATTTATAGTGGAGGTGGTTTTAGCCATGAAATTAATAGCATGTTAAGCATATAAATTAATGTCTTACATGTGCAAAATGTTGGCAGCTTTCTTTTTTTTTCCTCCCCTCCTGCAGGATCTGTTTGAGAGCTGTTTATTGAGAATGGAAGATAATAGCCTTCTCCATCAGTATTTGGAATTCAGAGATTTTATTAATGTACCTCAGGTAATAAGAAGCAATGTACAGAAGTCTTTAAAATTTGATTATAAATAGTATTTGGCTCCCTCCTAGGTATTTGAGAGAGGACAAACTACTGAACCTTTATACACTCTTGTTTTTAAATTGATACCTTCAGTGTCTTGCAATACAGAATTGACTGTCTGTTCTACCCACTACAGCATGAAGTTTTAGTGACAGTTAATTATACTTCAGTGTATGCACAGGCCACTGAAGCAGGTGGGCACTGATATTAGATGAAAGATGATGATTGCTCATTTTTGCCTCTTCCTTATAAATCTGCTGCTTGACTACATTCTTATTTGGCCCAACAGTGTTCTTGCCTATCAGCTCTGGGATATGAACCACAGAAGCTAATGGGCATTTCTCTGAACTTCTCATAGGCATGGTTTTGTGGGCTTTGGGGGGTTTTGTTTGGGGTTTTTTTTAATGTCTGGAGTAGATTTTAGTCAGTATGATGTAATGTAATAATCTGTACCTAACTGGAAATCATGCTTTCTTGATCCAACTGCAGGATTTGGTGAAAGTTATGACCCTTTGTCCCATAGAGCATCTGGTATGTAATGTGTCCAACAGAATCAGTTAAGTGAGTGCTGAATTTATGTCATTGGAATTAATCTAATATTATATTTTTTTCTCTTTAGAGAAAGAAGAGTTTAAATATTTTGCAGTTGTACATAAATAAGTTTGACACAGAGGGAAAATACACCTTATTCAGGTATGCAGCCAAATTACTGTACATTGTATAATACCAGCCTAATTGCAGCTTAACTGGATAGGTACAAAGATTTCTGAGAGAGTCTGTCTGGTAAACCACGTTAATTTTACTATGTTAATTTTTTTGGATAAACAATGAATTTCAGTTGCCTCCCATAAAATCAGCTGTCTCATGTAAGCTACTGTGTAGAGGTTACATAGTTATTTTTCCGTGATAAAACTCTCACTTAGTGAATAAGGCCATAAGATCATCTAAGTTTGGTGCTAACTATACAGGCAGCTTTGAAGGAATAATATCTACCTTTTTCTCTTTCCTGTGTGTGTGTTTGAAGGTGTTTACTGAAGACAAGCAACCATGCTGGTGTGGAAGGATACGTTATTAAAAATATAAAAGATCAGATTCACTTATCATTAACGGTAAGGCTGCTCCTACTAAAAACCAAGTTACTATCCCAAAATTCTATCAGTATTATGTTGAGAAAACACGTACAGCTTCTGCTTTGAGGGATGCATTAAAAACAATCTGCTTTGAAAAGAAACGTAAGATTGGGAAATGATATAATTAAAAACATGAATATAGCTTATGCTAGATATATATACACATATATCCTGCATATGGGGTTTTTTTTTTACATTATAATATTAAAACTGTGGGGTTTAATTGCATGATCTTTGTGTATTTTTCTAAGAAGTGATTTTCTTTTCTGTGCTTGAAGGTCCATGCTTTTTTCTTAAGGAGGAACTCCTCGGTGGGGTTTTTTCCCCCTCACAGTTCTTTATTTCTTGAATATAATTCAAATACAGACAGAATTATTAGGTTTTTTCCTAGTTTTTATGATGACAATCAGCATTACACTGAGTGCTTCATGAATGTTCAATTCATCAGAAAGGGTTAGGCTAGATCAAAGCCATTTAAATATCATAGTTCATAATCACTTATACCAGGAAGTTGGAAAAAATAATTAAAAATAAATTATGAACTCCTTTCTCTTTCTTTCTCTTTGTTGTTTTTTTTTTCCTTTAAACTGCTCAGGGCCTTTTCCAAACCAAATTTGATTCTCGAGGATACTGGCTTTTGTCAAACAGGACAATATAGTAAAATTATGCATATTTTATGCTGGCATAATTATGTTAGAAAACAGCGAATTACTATTTATTAGATCATAATAGATTACCCTGTATAAATCATAATTAGATGACCCTGTATATTGAATCAGCAGGGGTGAAGAAGATGATAGTATAAAAAGTGTTCCAAAAGGGACTTGCACTTAGGTTGAAAAGGTAAAAGTATATTCTGAAATTTCTTACTCATGAATTTTTTTACTGTGCAGCTTCAGAATTCTCTTAATGCATTTCTTCCATGTAGTGCTCCCTGGCTGTCGAAAAGACAAATAATGTAATAATTTCATCATAGGAATTTGAATATTCTAGGTTGGCTGAATTCTGCTATAGACATAATGATAACCATTTCCTATTGCTAAACATTTATTTCATCTTAGTTTTTGTGCCCAGCTAGTCTTAATCTTTCCAGGTCCCTCATCTGATCTGAGTTACCCTTCTTGTCTCCTTATCTAATCTCATTCCAATCCATTTCTGGGTTTAGAAATAACAAAGAAAACTTAAACCACCTGATCATCTTAAAGAGATAAAAAATTGACACTACTGTTGTGAAATGAATAGATTCTCTGCTAAACATAAGCAATTGTTCCATACCTCAATAGAAATACAAAGACATTGCCTCTATGATTTGCTAAGTTTATGAAAACAAATAGTAACTATATTGATGGTGGAATGCTGAAAAGGTGGAGAATTGAAAAGAACAGCTTGGCATAAAGGGACAAAGTAGGGAGGGTTATGAAAAGACTCGTTTGTGTACTTCCATCACCTGTAGTGATTAGACAGTGCTGCTTCCAGTGTTTTATTCTTCCCCCCAACCCTTTTCTGGTTTCACAAGATTATTGTTAAATAATTTAAGATACCTTTAAGAGCTAAATTTTGCACTCAGCTAAACTTGTCATATCGGGGTTGGTTTTTTTTTCAGAAGGCATGTGACAACACTTGGTTTACAGGACATCACTTGATCTCCCTTCTAGATTTAGTGCTTTTGCTTCCAGAAGGTGCTGAGACGGATCTTCTGCAACACTCCGATAGGTGAGTTGTACTTGCAATTAGAGGCTTTTCTCCTTTTTTAAATCATTTAGAAAGACTTCAAACCACCTGACTGCAGTGGGAGGTACAGTGTCATGTAATTAGGTGACAACATCAGTGTATTTTAAGTTTTTGGAACTAGAAATAGAAGTGATCACTTATTTCAACCACCCCTTCAACTAACTCTGTATAGAATAATGTCACAATGCTACAGGTTGATTTTAATAAGAAAGAAATTCCTCCTCCATTCCCTGAGGGTATGAGGCCTCAGGTGTCAAATGACAGCACTAACTGGTAGAGCATTATTTCTTCAGGAATATTTGGTTTCTCAGCAATTGGAGGACCAGAAGAAATGTGTTGTGTTGTCTTACATGATACAGGGGAATAACAATTATCAGACACACCTTACAGCACACAACCTTTTGGAGGCTGTTTCCCAGGTGGCTGCTTGGAATCCAGTATCCCCTGAATGGGAACACAGAGCCACCTGAACAGCAAATACTTGCGTTGAGTAATATGAAAATAACTGAAATGTCTCTGAAAAGCTCATGTAGAGGACAAGTCTTTTCCTATATGCTGAGTAAAGGCTGGGCTTGTAAATCAGTAGGTTGACAGTGTCCGGATGGATCCATAATAACTTAAAATCCAGGTGTATAATCTGTAATTGTTTATCTGGATGAAGCAATAAATAGTTTCTGCTATAAAGTCTGGTAAAACAAAAGCAAAAAGCATATTTAAAGGGCACTCAGAACTCAAGACAGGGATAAAGAAAACTGTCACATTAGTTTCAAATCAATTGGATCACTGGAGATGCATATTACAAACTGTGTCATAAGGTTCTGTCTCCTCAGAGAGCTCTTTCCCCCACAATCACCAGCCTTTGGCAACCTGCTGACAGTTTTAATTTTAGTTGCAAAGTGCCAACTGTTGTAACATGGATGTTACTGCACACCAGTGCTTGAGACTAGGCTAGACGGCTCAACAGATGGGTGGCTGTATTTTGTACAAACGGGTATTTTTAGGCTGTCTGGCTAATGGACGATTTTAATTACTATCCCTGTAGTACAGATCTGCGCGAAATGATAAACGGTATGTTTTTAATTTACAGGATTATGGCGTCACTGAATCTACTGAGATACTTAGTCATTAAGGATTGTGAAAGTGATAATCAGGTAAGTCATAACTGATCTGAAAATGATTGACTAGCTGAAGGCTGAGAGCTGGATTCATGTGAACACTGTTATCCTTGGTTCAAAACCTCCTCTTTGCGTTCTCCTTTGGTCATCCAGAAGCGATGCTTTTATTAACTACATTAGGAGATACTTGATGTGTTACTTTATTCTGATGAAATTTGATTGCATTCATAGTTGCTATAAACAAGCTAATCCTTTTACTCTGCCTGATGAGCTGTGGTCTATATCCATAATTTTAGAGTATGTCTCTATAAAATCACCATCCCATGAGAGAAAGTATTTGTTACTCTGCTTATTTATTCACTGATATTCTTCAAGCCTTCAACTGGATTTCTCTGTAATAATAATACAAACCCTTGCAGTTCAAGAGATCCATTTTATTCATCTTTAGGCAAATTTTTTGGGGTCAATATGCTTTTGTTGTTACTACTACGATTTCTCAGAAAACAATAATCATATTTAAATAGTGTTTAGCTGTGCACCTGTGCACGTGCATGATAGGTACATGTTAAAAGCTTCTCTAGGTGTTAGCATCAAAAAAAATCTTGTCTGTAAGGTCCATCTACTGAAGTGAAAAAAGGAATGGCCAGACCCATCCAAGTTTCTGCTACGTTGCTTTACTGGAAACAGCCTAGAATGTTTTATGGACAGAGGTAACTTGCCAGCCCAAACTGCCCACCACTGCAGTTTACCTGTATTTGTATTAGAGGTATAGCTCTTTACCTTCACTTCTGTGTGTGGATGTTTGAATGTAGGTATTTCAGGAATACTCTGCAGATTTAAACTGTGCAGTACATTTAAAAAATTGAAATTGCCCTTATGTATTTTACCCATATAATGTTGTGCTACCTCAGTGTAAAGCAGGATTTTATAGCTTTAGTTGTAATCCCCACCTCTTTCTTCTCTCTTTTGCTTAGCTCTCTGCTGTCTGAAACAGTCAGCAACATTTGTTAAATCAGTGCAAAGTGTATTTGTTATTCAGCTGCTGTATGGCTACTCAGTGTAATACACTGTGATGGATCTGCTGGTTTTGTGTAGTCAGTCCTGTCCAGCTGCAGCTGGTGGAAATGTGTTCCTGGACACTCAAGGGGAAACTTGTTTGAATTTCACAACATACGGATTGTTATATGGATTCCATGTTTTAGCTGTTGATTTATAAGTGCACTGGCTTGGGGTTGTGTCACTACAGCATTGAAGAGCCAATGCAATTCTTTGTGTTTGGTTTTCTGATTACATTCCACTACCAAGTGGCTGCTACTTCTAATCTTAAATGCAACTTCTGTTGACTCTTTCAAATCATTATGTTCTAATTTATGCAATTCAGGAGCTTTTCATCCAGTGCATCATGTAGTGAACAGTTCTCGCCTGGCTCCTTACTCCTAATGTTTTGATTTTTGCATTAAAATATTTGTTTAAATTAGTGACAGTTTAAAGAAAAATTGCTTTTACAATAAAGCCTTTCTTGACTTGAATAAGCAGTATCACGGTCAGATGAATATCCTAACCAGCAGGTTAAGTATCCTAAGGTGTTTTGTTGTTCTCCCCCACTTCGTTGAGTTTCTTTATGATTTGGAGTAATGGATTTCAGCAGATCATTTTGTGTTTTCTAAAATACAGAAAAAAAATCCATAGTCTGCTTTGAGAGCACTGTGAGATCAATGAACACAGGTTTTGTAAGTGCTTAATGATACTGGTCGAAGTATAATGATAATAATACAGCTTGCACTGATTACCAAGACTGTAGTGAAAATTAATAGCAGTTGGTGCATCCTTTGCTGTCATTTCAGATGTTTTGATTGCTGAGTAACAAGTACTTTCAAATAATCAAGTGTAAAAAGCAGTGTTTTTCTTCCAAGTTACTTCTTCATTCTTAGCCCCATTCTGGTGGAAGTTATTAGCAGTTTTCTTGTTTGACCAGCTAACTTTGTGTTGTTTAGCATTAAAATCTAGTGAATTTTCCACTGTAATCAACAATACTATGTAGTAATTCTTATTTCTATTGACCTTACTCTGCCCTTTGAGAATACTGCCTGAAGAAAGGAGTCATATAAATGGCTCCTGTATATAAAGGCATAAAGACTGCTTTGTATTTGTTTCCTTCTTGCAGTTTTGTAACTACAAGCTTTTAAGGTGCCAACGCAGAGGAGTTTCCTCCTGTGCTGTATAACCTTGAACAGCCTTGCTTTAGAGCATCTTTTCCTGGTATATCTTGCTTCCTGAGTGCCATTATTGTAAACTCCTTCTTTCACCCATGCCAGATTGGGTAGAAGTTCATGGTCACTTTGGTTTCTGTGCCTAAGGAAGGGGTAGTAGCATATCGAGGAACATTCCTACAAGGCTTTTTAAACTGAATGCGATATAGACAATACCCTTACATATTTGGGGAGCATGACATTTACAAGTTTTCATTTGTCATTGCAATACAATGTTAATTCAGGAACATGAAGTTAAGAATTTGTTGTGTTTTGCTGCTGAATTATCTTGGAGAATTACAACTGCTGTTTACTCCCTGTAGAGATTCTAGCCTGAGAAAGTGCCTAGTAGCTCCCCTCCAACTTGTCAAGATCCTTTCAGTTTTGCTTACAAGACCAAGATGACAACGTGTGTTTCCATCGCTGTAGTTATTAGCCTACATACCAAGTTTGCCCCCTCTTATGTGTTTTTTGACTGCTTCATCCTGTAATTTTCAACAAATAATGTAAGAGAGAGGAGCTTAAATACCCATCTTGATGTTCTTCATGCTTAAATGTATGAGTCTAAATTCTTTTTTCTCCCTTTTTTATTCCCAGCACAGAAGTGTGTATTACAAAGACTTGTCCACAATCTTGTGCTCAAAAACTTAGCACTGCAATGCTGCTTTAAAACTAATTTGTAACCTTCTCTGCTCTATTTGGATAGACTGGGGTATGGACCATGATTCCCAGGATTGAGCAAAATTTTTTAAAGCCGCTGCATGTAGGACTCAATATGTCAAAAGCACACTATGAAGCAGAAATAAAGAATAAGAAAGAGAACAAAAAAGGTTAGTTGGTTTCCTTTTTTTCCTAGCTTTGTTTGTATGTAGAAGCTCGGGAAGTCCTCTGGAAACAAAGAATTGGTGAGTGCTGTATAGATCATGTTTTATTCAACTGTTGACAGTCTTCAAAATTTCAAATAATAATTCAGTAGCTGCTATATTTAATATTGATAATTTTCACAACTGGTCAGAAAAATCAGAACTTGTCTCTCATCACATATGGAAACCTGACAGAAATAAAGACCTTCAAAGCTTGTTCCGCATTTCTATCTTTGATTTTAAAGGTTTGACATCTGAGTCTCTCTGAATATATAGCCCTTAGGTTTCATAGCAGGTATGGGGAGGTTAACAAGAAAAGAAATCCATTCACACAGCAAACAGGTGCTCTCTTAAAGCCTGGATTTTATGTATATATAAAATCTGACACACAGAATCACGTTCTGCTCTGGGTTAAGCAGACACATTCCACAGGACATAAGAGCTGTAGCTGCTTTAGGCGATCCCTGTGTATGTCAGATCCTCTGTTCCTTTGTGGTATCCAGTATAACTAAGACAGCCCAAGGAACTTCTTGCTTCTGCTACCCAAGATGTCAGTACAGCTTTTTGCCCCTAGTCTTATCCTCTTCTGTTGTTGTTAACGAAGTAAGCATGAGGCACAGATGGGGAATTTTTCTGAGGGCCACCTGTGGGTATCTTTCTAAAGAGAATCCTTTAAAATTAATCAGGAAGCTTTTTCTTTAAGTCCCTTTTATGTTTATCTAGCCTTTGACAAAGCATAAAGAGATTTGAGTTTGGGAGAGAACATCTAACTCATAGCAGTAATTGGTTTAGCCTTTTTCCTCAATGCATAATCTTTGTAAGCATTATGCTGAATTTCAAATGTGTTGTCTGAATGTAAGAGGTTTTCCCCTTAGTTTTCAGCTTTGTCCTTGTAGTTTTGCCTGCTGTAAGTAATCTGCCTGAAACAGAGAAGCCTGAAGCCTTTTGTTAATAAGTGTTTCATGTCTGGATTCATTTAGTCAAGCTAAAGAACCTCCCAATATCTCTCTGGATGTGAAAATACTAAGAATTTATCAAAAAATGATCAGATTTAATAAGTTTTTGCCTTTAAGGGAGCATTTTAGCTGTATGAAATTGAGTTGCAGATACTGATTGTTTAGTAATGTAGTTGTATGTTACAGCAAGCATAGAGATAGCATCCAGCTCAAACTGTCTTCCTCTTGAGGTCTGGCATCTTCTGTCCTGTGTTTGGTCAGTCCCTAGGTTTGTGGGTTTTAACAATTACTGTCTAGAAATGCTAATATATTAAATATTATTTCCATTCTAAAAGTTATGTGAAACAGCAGCCTGAGCTCTGGTTGGTTATTCTCTTCTACAGAGGCGCAGAGTCCTAACACAGTTTGTTCTGTAACTGTTAGTGGGGAAAAGATGCCTGCCATGACTACTGAAATGCAGCTACAGGTGAGTTTGCATTTCCTTTGAAGTCATTCACAAGTACTGAAGTTTTCTTTACAATCTGGAGACAAACGTACATGTAGAGTGAGTAAAAAAAAATAAATTATTCTAATAAAAATAACATGAATCTCTTTTGTCATTTCAGGTTTTACACTCGGCTCTCTTCACCTTTGATTTAATAGAAAGTGTTCTGGCTCGAGTAGAAGAACTTATTGAAGTGAAAATAAAAGCTGTAATGGATGAAAATAGTTAGGTCAGGTGAAGTATTTGAATTAACATACTTCTTAGAAGATCATTTTGACTGTGAGACTTTAGCTGAAAAGTAGGTACCAACCTTTAAAGAAGAGCAGGTTAGAAGAACTGAAGAACTGCAAATGCTGCTCTTCAGAAGTCTTCATTCTTTTCATTTGCTTTTGCTATTGTTATATGGGGTTCACAGAGATGGCCTATTTACTGAAGTACTCCCCTTCAGAATCTGATGCTTTTTCTTAAGTTTAGAAATGAAAATTGAGGGGGATTTTTGTTCTTTTGTCATGGCAAGAAGGTATGGTTGTGAATTTATTTTTCTGTTAATTTTCAGAATTTGTTAGATAATAGTTGCTGAATGAATGGTGGTGTGAATTACAAAGGTTTTTATAAAGTGGCTGGAGAAGCATTAATTAAAAAGCACTGTTTAAGCACAAGGTATTTTTATTTGTAGATATAGAAGCTGATACGTCAATATTAAAATTGGGACTGTAAGGTTAACACAGTAGTAGAAACATTATGGCAAAGAAAACAAGGTTTAAAGAAAAACACATCAACTTTGAGCCAACTAAGATGTAAAAACTTAGTAACAAGACAGATAACACTTGTGTTTACAAACCACATTGCATAAGGTTTCATACATACACGTGTTTATGTGTGGGAAACTCTATTTTGGAATTGATCATTTTTATCTTTAATGATAAAGTTGTCCTTCAGATAGCTTAAGCATTTTGGAAGATTACTATAAGCAGATGAGCTCCTAAGTTCAGAATCGAGTTAAAAATGAGGATGGCTCTTCTACAGTGCAGGTAAACCACTTTTTTTTCTATACAATGCACATTTGGTATAAAGTATGGTATTTTTCACTGTATAGTTATTTAATATGAATTTTCATTCCAAATGCATAAGCTGTATATACAGTCTTTTGAAATGTCACTATATTTTAAAGAACTTTCTATATTTTGTGTAAAATGTAGCCACTATTTATGAATAAAACCCCCAAATACTAAATCAATTACACTGCAACTGGTACTCCTGAAGCATCTTCCAAACTGGACTGTTTTCTATTATTTGGGCTTTTGTCATTGCCATTTTGTAACGAATATCATCTGCTCGTGGCTTGGAAGTTATCTTGGAGGAAAGAAAAATATTCTGAGTAAGACACAGTAACTCTTAGGTAATAGAATATTCAACATCTTATTTTTCAAATACAACAAATGTGAAGTTAATCAGCAGTGAAATCTGAAGCCTCTTTTCTGAAACAGATTTTCAGGAATGATGTACACAGAGGTGATCTGATGTATCCCCTCAGGTGCAAGACCAGTCTTAAAATAACCAGTCCTGTCAGCACTGCATCTGATTATCTGGATAGTATTTCAACAGGAGTTGGGTAGGTAGCTCAGGATTAGTTGGATGGTATTGCTCTCTTGGCCAATACCAAGGCCAAAAGTTCATTTTTAGGCCCTATACCAGTTAGGGATTCTCCGGCAAAAGATGAGCGCATTAAACTAGCTCTGCACTGCATTGGTAAGAAATAATTTAACAGCAACCAGTATCTTTGTGATCTGTACTATCATCACTTCTTATGGGGCTCTTCTGTGGGAGTTTGGCTTAAACATTCTGAACAAGTTGAAAAACAAATTCAAGTTTATAGGATCAGCAGTAATCTTAAAAGCTTTTAGGTTAATGCTGTATTAAGGGTCTGGGCCAGACATCAGTAGATACCTTAAAAAGTTTAAGTACAGTATTCAACACTGTAATGAGTATTTAACAACTTTTGCCATTTAGTAAGTGAGATGTAGCATACATACTTTAAAAATGATGAATACTCTGAGTAGGTTAATGCTGCTTATTTTGAGATGCCCACTTCAGGAACGGATAAAATGTAAATTCATAGTTGATTCCTAGCATGTCATTCAGCCTGCTCTTTTTATTTTTAGTACAGAGGATGCTGCTAAGACTGTTAAAGTGAGTATCTAAATTAAAATCTTCATGTTCTTTAAAGATGTTCAGTAAATAGGTTTAATTGTGTGTTGTGCATATAGGATATCTCACAGATACACAGATAAATTACACTCATTAAGCTGTAGGAATAATATAGTAGTATGTGCATCATTAAAGTCCACAGGTAACTAGAGTCTTCAGATTGGCATTTTTACTTCAAGTCATTACATATTTAGATCTCATGCTGCTTCTGTACTAGTAAATGAAGACGTCCTAACTTAACAGTGGTAAGTAAAAGCCAAATTAGCTCTTAAATATCTAATTTGTCTTCACAGATGCTATTAAGAGCTTTTTAAATTGCCTTTAGCTGAGTCTTTATTGTTAAAGTATCATAGTAATGGTCCTACCTCCATGTATTTAATGGATTGTGGTAAATATGACCCAAAAAGTTCCATTTAGGGAAAAATAAGTATTTTTATAGTTCTTAGCTTTTCCTGGCTAATATAACTCAGAAGAGCTAATAGTTTTGAGAATATGCAACCAGACTTACCTTAGCTATAGTTAGCATTAACTTAACAGTTTCAGCACTGTTATGAACTGGTATTATACGTAAATTACTGCCCAGGAATCTGCACATCAAAATAAATCAAGGTTACTTTTAGAAGCACATTTAATTTATGATGCCACAAAACTCAAAAAGCATTCCCACACGATGGAAACAACTTCTTGCTGTGCCTTCACAAGTACAGTGAAGATTGCCTTCATTAAAGGCCCCTGCAGAGTTCCTGTGGTTTGTATAGCCATCTGTCCCATTTCTGGACCACTTGTTTAGGTGGGATTTGGAAGGGCTCATTTCTTCTTCTAGGGCTGTTTGACAATCAGTCAACGCTTCTTAAGCATGTGTACATTCAGAGAGAACTGAACCCTCTCCTGCTGTATTGAAGACTGTCCATTCTCAGTGCCAGTAAAAAGTGTTCAGGGTTTTTTTTAATGGCTTTGGAAAAACACAGGAAAGTATCTAAAAACAACTGTGCTAAAAATACATCATTTGAAGTATCTGAACTAAATCTTTTTAGTGTAGCATCTAAATATAGCAATCTGCACGTCAGCTGCGATTAAGATAATGGGATAATTCAGCTAAGAATTTATTGTAAAGACTTGCTCATTCAAATAATTTAACCCAAAATTCATTCTATAAATAACCTTATTCATATGCATTCATTCTTGAGGATGAAATCTGCAGCTTTAAAATCCTACCATGTGTTGTCATTCAGTGCAGTCATGGGAGGGAGAGTGAGATCAAAGCTTAGGCAAGCACAGAGTTGCTCCTTAAGACTTGTATCTCAAGTGTGTTGTAGCAATGACACCAAAAGTGAGCATTGCTGCTGTGTGCTAAAGTATCAGAAGGGCTTAACCACAGAAAAGGAGGAATTTTAAATGATCAAAAACTTAATCCAAAGGAAGTGCCCAGCTGCTCAGTTGTATTCCCCTGTGACCTCCCCTTGTGACTGCCACCTGCTCTTCCCCTCAGTCTGCTTGATGACTTGGACTCAATCACATTAAGACCCATGCTGGGTAGATAGCTGGGCCAAACTTGGCTGCCCATTCTTCTAATTAGCAAAAATAAATGTACAGGCAGTGTCCTTCCCCAAGAGGAGGTACTCGGGTCATTGTTGAGTCCTGCTAAAATCTCATGCAGAAACTGTGCTTTGATTTACATTTAGGGATTAGAGAAATAAATAGGTGCAACTTTGCCAATACTAGCAATGGGCTAAGCAAAATGTGAATAAACAAAGTAGAACAAAGAAACAGTGATGTGTACTGACCTGGATTCATGAAAACCCATTTCTATCAGTAGTTTTGCTTCCAGTTACAGTGGGTCTAAATTTAGTCTGTATTTTATTAATTTGATCACCAGGCAGAATACAGGCTGTTAGAACACATGGCTGGTCTTTCCTCCAAGGGGTTTAAAATTTAACATCCAGTTTTACTGAGGCTCCTAGTGGGACGCTCACTGGAGCTGTGATGATAAAGATAGCTTTTCTGCCACTTCCCCCCATGATATGTGCAACCCTGCATTAAGTGTCCATGTTGTTGAGCAACAACCCTTGTTAATTAAAAAAATCCTTCCCCAACTGCAACAAAAACATAGGTAAGCAGAAAGAAACAATAATCCAGGAAGACCTGAAAATACCAAGAGTCTTTGTGTTTTAACAAATCCAACAGGTGACTTGTAGTTTGAGAGAACATGGCACAAGTTTGAACCCCAGCAATGCAAAAGCTCAGTCAGTGATTTACGTACAATAGCAGAACTCCAAGCTGCCAGGTAGTAAAGAAGTACCTGCACCTTAATGCACTTGTGCCTTGTCAACATCTATTTGGTTATGGCCTGCAATGGCTAAAGTGTTATTTTTATTTTGATAAAATGACTGACTTGCCAACTGGAATACAGCTTCAAAGCACCATGGTTGTTACTGATCGACACATGCACAAAATCTGTGTACACAATCACTAGTAGATTGAGAATTAGCATTGCCATCAGCGGAATAACATGTTCTAGCTGAATGGTGGCAGTGCTTTTGAGAGCTCTCATGAAAATGTATGGAATTTTCACAAGTGGGTAATAGATTTCCTGCATTTCATCCCCACACTCTGCTGCTCATCAGCATCTGGCAGCGTGCCCAGGATTTAACGGAACTGGTGCCAGCTTCAAGGAGGTAAAGATCAAAGGAGCCATTAGAATAGTCATTTCTTTGATGTCAAGAGTGAAAATCAGCTGCAGTTAGGACTACTGTACCTACCAGGAACCAGTTTTGACTACGAGCACAATCTGGTAAGTGTTGTCAGCAGGTGTGTACTGAAACATGCATGTTTTCAGGCTTCAATAGAAATCACAGATACCATTTTAAACAAACCAGGTTTGTACTTTTGTTTTAAAATAACACTGATTATTTCAGTTGTTCCAGGGCTGTATAATAGACACCGTTCCAAGTAAACAGATTTTAAAAGCTGGTAAAGAATCTGTACTTTACTATAAAGCCTCTTCTCATGTCAGAATCTTGC